TTGATCCTTTAACAATAGCTGCTCTTATGGGAAGAAAGCAGATCCAGATAGGAAAGGACTGGTAGGAATAGAAGGAAAGGAAACCATAATCAGGATATATTGTGTGAGCAAAGAATCCATTTTCAATAAGACGCAAAAAAAAAAAAAAGCTGTTCTTTTTGTTTCTTTTGCAGAATACACACACACACACACACACACACACACACACACACACACATACACATTGACATCATGTTTGGTCAGTTTGTACATTTTAAGAGATTTCTCAAAAATCTTCCTGCACACAAAATACCTATAATTGGGGATACATTTACAGATAACAACTCCCTTAAAACTAGAGTCTTTCACAGTTTCATTCATTGTTTGTTAATGTCAGGGATGAAAGCTCCCAAATTATTATTGATCCCCAGGAATTAACAGGTATTAAAACCTTACTGAAGGTTGACATCCATAAATGTGAGGGACGCCCTGACTCCAAAATCAATGGATGGCATGATATCCTTCATCTCACCTCTCCCTTTGCTAAACCCCCTTGTTCCTTCCTCTACTGCTTGCAACGCCAACTTTTCGGCCATGTTCATCCTAACCGCTAACATTCAGGTACCTCGGTAAACAGATACAGCCATACACAGAAAACACATGTAGAAGGCTCTGGCCTCCTTGAGATAAGACTTAATTTTGTAAAGCGTTATTTTTGACAAGTGTTGCCCTTCTGTATGAGTCTCATGCTTTCATCAAATTTGGCTAATACCATATGAGTTCATGTGGATTAAAACCATAGATTTAAAAACTCTGGGGCTGGTAAGATGGCTCAGAGATAAAGGCACTTGCCATGCAAACTGATGACCAGGCTTGGTCCTCAGAACTCATGCAAAATTAAAAGAAGAGAACAGACCCCACAGTTGTCTTCTGGCCGCCACACATTTGCCATGGCCTGTGCATGACCCCGCCGAGACACATACCGACACACACAGGCACGCAATAAGTCTACATTGTTGGAACCTCAACTTCCTTTTTTTCTAGTTCACTTTGTCAGCATTAAGGGAGACTGTAGATAGCCATTATTATCTGATCTAAGTGAGGCTGCTTGCTTGACTCAATTATTCTGCATTGACTCTTCCTTCCTGAGTGCTCTGACTCCTAATCAAATGGCAGAGGACTGGCAAATACTGTCTTAGAGAATGCTAAGGTATACAGGTTAGTTAACTGCTTAACTGGGATGGGAAGAGTGCCAGAGAAGAGGAGGAGATGGAGGAGAAAGAAGAAAGGGGAATGGAAGAGGAGGGGGAGGGGAAAGGAGAAGGGGAGGAAATTCTCTCTTCTGAGTATGTATTTTGAGTTCCCCTTCACAGCCTAGTTATCATTCACGCAATCTTCAATTCCTGTCTAAATATCCCCTCTTTCACACAACAGAGAGAGAGAGATTCTCTAAACCTCTAGGCCTTGAATGCCCAAGGATTTCATGTCTTTGTAGTTATCTCAAAGGGTCACAGCAGCCTCTATTCTATCATATCACCAGATTGCCTACCGCAGTCCCTCTGTAGGCCTAGCATATGACACGCAAATGTGCTGAGATAAATGACCTGAGTCATCGCTTCCTCGTTTTATGTCTTCCAATAAGCGTCTGGGAAGAAGGGGGGATTTCATGTTTCTTTTTTGCAATGAAATGCTTATAAATTTTTTTTCTCCAAAATTAAGATCAAAGATCTGTAAATGAGAAGGCAAAGTCAGAAGGGCTCAGTGGTAGAATACTAGCCTAGTATGTGTGAGGTCTTGAGTTCAGTTCCTAACACTATCAAAGGGGAAGAAGGAATCTAAGGTCCAGGACACTCGGGTAGGGCCCGATGCAAAGGTTCCGATTTTAGCATTGTAGGAAACACCCCCAGGACAGCAAATTATCTTTCTGATTCTTCATCACCCATATCCCTGACAGAGATCTGTGCCTGTTCAAATTAACATGGTAAGCCACTTCCAAATCTTAGAATCTGCCAGCAGCAGAGTTCCTGTCTAGGCAGGAAGTGAGCTTACCATACAGAAACTGTTTTCTCTACCAGGGCCCAGGAGAGGTCAAGAAGGCCTCCACAGAATCATTGGAGAAGGCTTGTGTGGGAAACAGACTTTCATGCTTTTACTTTCAAGGAAAAAAAAATGTGTTTTAATAGCAAGGGGAGAAATAGCACTGGATTAAACCTTTATATCTTCTCTATTTAATTACTATTTACATTGCCAAAATGGACAGACTCCCCTTCCCTGTCCCTCTTCAAGTCTCTCCTCCCTTCTTGCTCTTCCTCTAGGAGGCTCACTACCCGTTTATCTATTTTGAAGCAATGTTTCAAGTTGTCAAGTCTGACCTAGAACTCCTGATCCTCCCAAATGTAAGATGACCTGCATGCCCCACCATAATCCAGTGTATGTAGCATTGGGGATCAAACTCCAGGCTTCCTGCATCCTAGGCAAGCTGACGCATTAGCCAATGTTCTAAGTAGCTGCATTATCCCTTATGAGTCTTTTCCTCTATATGCTTGCTCTTGGAGGACAAGATGTCTTTGATGCCTGCGTTCAGGACAAACAAGGAAAGCAGGAGGGGTCCTGGAGTCTGGGATACACAAGGTGCTCGATATTAACCATTCCGGAGCTGATTCTGACCCATAGCAGTGAGTTCCCATCAACCTTTCTCCACAGTGTGGAGAGGGAGAGTCCTCTCAGGTCCCAGGTAGATAGAGTCTAAAGAAACTAATTTTTCAAGTCTCAGCTCTGCTTTTCTGCCGTGTTACTTCACCTCTCTAAACTTTAAAACCCTCATCTGCTGAGGGTGTGAGAGTAAATGAAGAGAATGAGGGTGACCCGTCAGCTCCCTGCCTGATATACTACGTGCTTTCTCCATGTTAGTCACAACCACAACACAGTGTGTGACAATCATGGGCAAAACTCAGAACCGAATACAAGGCTTCTTTCTAGCCAACTGGAAAAAAAGAGCTGGGGCTACTTCATCAGGAGAACGAATCAGACAGACACAGTCAATTCTATTCAATTCTGTTTAATTTACTTTTGCTTTTGTTACATGTACTATATTAATTAAGGTGGAAAAAGATAATAAGCTGAGCCGTGTAAATGGCAAGTTTTATCAATCAGACGAGTCTAAAATTTTGTACACATGCTTTTTTTTTTCTCTTTCTCTAAATACAGATAAGGATTTTGAGGAAAAATAAAAGGGAGAGTACATATTGTAATTCTGTTTTGTATTCTGCTTTTTCTTGCCACTGAGACATGATAATCTCTTAGTGATATAATACCAATGCCATCATTTAACTATCTAATAATATACAGATGTAAAAACATTCATTTAATCAATTTCATAAAGTAGTTGTTATTGGGGTTGTAAGGATGTAGCCACGTACTCTAGACTCATCAGTTTGGTTCTAACTTAGGAAATATCCTAAAATCCTATTTCTGTCATGTCAAAAATGAGAAATACTCTCCCTATAGGTAGAGACTGTTCCATGGGCCAGACCAACAGACACATGAAAACATGTTTCTATATAGTACTCCATAAATGCTTGTACTTATCAAATATGCTAAACAGACACTCTCCTCTATGGGATGGAAACAAGAAGAAATTTGTTTGCCATGCTGCTGATCAAATCAAGGTCAATAGATCCCTGTGGGAAGCTCATGGCACAGGAGGGAATGATTCAGCCTGGCTTAGGTGCCTTTCATCTGTCTACTCTTCTGATATGAAATCAGTCTATTTTATTCTTAGAAGGACATGGGGGCCCAACAGAAATTTCTTTTGGAAAGCAGGGTAAGCCATTAGATCCCGTCTTAGCCACCTGCTGTACCTACAGTGTGTTTGTAAATGGCCAGATATTAAATGTCCATGTCCTGAATTACTTTGAAAGGTTATAAAAGAAAGCAAGTCTAGCTGCCCTGGTAGATACTAATACACACTGAGATTATTGTTAATATATTTAGAACCTTCTAAGGCCTCAACTTCTCTCACTCCTACCTTCGAAAGCTATAGAAACAAATCTATTTCCTTTAAGCATTGATGAATTGAAGCTTTCAAATGGGTTCTAATCTAGGGAGTTGGAGTGAAGTAGACAACAGAAATTTCTAAAGCTCTTATATGTACCACAAATTAGCTCTATAAGTTAGATTAGTTATGTAGTAAAAAGAGAGACTTGCCTCTAATTGTATCTTATTTTCCCATTGTTATTACTCTCAGGTATATGTTAGAGACAAGCAAGAAGGTTTTTCAAAACAATCTATTTAAAAAAAAAAAAAACCTGACCATTTATTAATAACAATTGGGAAGAAATAGCAAACACACAATCCATTAAAGACCAGTTAGTACCTGGAAATCAGGTTTTGGCTATTTGAAGTGTAGCTGTCTAATCTCCTGAGAGGCAAGGGGTTCTGACGGAGGTGCAGCCCAAGCTGGAAGACCTGAGTGGATGCTCTAAGACAAAAGGATTCCAAGCACACAGCAGGCATGCTGTTCATTTGCACTCTGAACAAAACCACTGAAATATGCCTTCCAAAATGCAATCCCTCTCCCAAAAGCAAAATTTTGGGGTAGGAAAAAAAAAAAAAAACTTATGGGATAAAATAACCGAAAGAGGGAAAATGTTTAGTACTTTATATGGCAATTTGCAATTGTGGTTCTGCAGACTTCACGGCAGTATGGATAAGGCACAAGTTTTACTGAAAGGAATGAATATAACCTTGTTCATACTTTCTAGATACAACTATGAAAGGAAGCTAAAGTCATATGCATAAACAACAAAAAAGGAAGGAAATACCCCCAACTGCCAATCAAGTCTGTCTCGTGGTAGCTTTTTCTTCCTTCCATGTTGTTGTACTTTTTTTTTTTAAGTCTACCACATATGTGGTAGAACAAACTGATGTTGAACAAATTAAGCTTATGTTCCACATGCCATTCCTCTAGGAAGCATCAAAGCACAACTCTGTGTAACAAATCAACAAACGGTACAACCCACCTGTGTGTTTCCTTCCAGTGCCCGGCCTCCTCCCGCTGCCCTGCCTTCCGACTCTGCCCTCTCTCCTGGCTTTCTCCCCTATGTGATGCAGCTCGTTCATTTAAAGCAAAAGTGAAACGGCCAACTCTGTTTTATGAACAGTGTCAGCCAATAGCAAGAAAAGAAGGAACTTGGGTCAGCAGGTCCTCAGCTTGGTGGCAGGATCGTGGGAATGGGTGCTGGATTCCTTCTTCGGAAGGCAGAGAATTTCCAGTTAGTGACCATCCTACCAAGTCACTCTGGAATTGCTGCCCGCTAATGACTGTTGTTTGTTTTGTTGGGGTTTTCTTGTCTTTTTTTTTTTTTTTTTTTTTTTTTTCTTCCTTCTTTTAATCAGATGTGATGGGCAGGGAGCTGGGCGTGGGGGTGCAGTTAAGTGGCTTTTATTTCTCCGAAAGGGTTTCTGTTTGCATGACAAGCCCGCCCATCAATTCCCCTTTTCACACTCAGCCCTGCCCACAGCTTTAGATAAAGCACTCTCACCACCCTCTGGCTTTCTCTGGCAAAGGTCAAAGGTCTTCCTCACGCTGCTGAAAAGCCTCTGTGAAGGTCACCGCTGGTCTCGTTGCTCCTGTAATGTGTCCCCTTGTCCCTCTTGCTCGAACAGTTACCTGTGGCAACTCTCTCGCTATGTTTCTCAATCCACCTGGCCCTTTCCCCAGCTTTCAGCCTGATTCTCCTTTGCCTCCTGGGACTGCTTGAATGAGAAATTTCCCCCCACCCCATCCCCTCCCATAGGCGTAGGTATTTGAACATTGGGTCTACAATTACTGGTGCTGTTTGACTTGACCGGGTGGTGTAGCCTTTAGCTGGTGGTGGGGTCTGAGAGTTTATAACCCCATTCCAAGTTCCAATTCGCTCTGTTTCACATTTGCAGTTAAAGATGGGATCTCTAAGCATCCTTCTCTGACTGCCTGCTACCATACCTCCCAAGCTAGATGTGCTCACTCGCGCTCTCTCTCTCTCTCTCTCTCTCTCTCTCTCTCTCTCTCTCTCTCTCTCTCTCTCTCTCTCTCTCTCTCCTCATAAACCCCAGCAAACTTCTTCCTGAGGTTGCCTTCTTCCTGAGATCATTATATTTTATTATAGCAACAGAATGGTAACTATTGCATCTCCTTTTCAGATTCTTCCTTTCCTACTATTTTGCCAGGTGTGAGCTTTTCCTAAAGATCTGTCTTCTGATCTTTCCTTCTTTGTTTCCTCTTTTCTTGTCTATGTATAACTTATCCTCTTTTATTTGTCATCCCAGGTCTTACTATCCCTCATCTTTCCGAACCATGCCAATGGAACCACAATAAGCCACCTGGTTAATCCAACCATAAAGTCAGAAGTTACTCAATGCTTCTCTTTCCCCCACTCCCCACACTCAATGCATTCCATTTGTTCTACCTGCAAAATATCTCCACTATCCCCAACCCTGTTCAAACCCTTTTCGTTTTGTGCTGCAGAAATGGCCCACATCTATAGCCCAGGTGCAAAGCATTTGCTTAGCATGTGCAAGGTCCTGGGTTTAATTCCACAAACTAGAAAGAAGAAATAGAAAGGCAAGGGGGGGGGGGGACAAATGCAGCAACATTGGGAAATTGAAATAAAGTAAAAGTGTGTTTGTAGATTACATCATCGTGTAGATAAACACACAACACAAAACCAGTTCAAACTAATAATCAGATAGAATAAGGTTGTGGGACATTCAGTCAACTCACTGAGCAGCTGCACTTCTGTATGTTAATAACCAATCCAAAAAGGAAGCAGTTAACTTCTACAGCATCAAGAAGAATAAAATATCAACTCAACAAGAAGGTGAAAGACATATACACCAATGGCTACAAAACATCCCTCAAAAAAAAAAAAAAAAAAAAAAAAAAAAAAAAAAAACAGAATAAGTAGAAATAAGGATGCTCATGAATTGAAAAACGTAAATGTTGATAAGATTTTAATACAATACAAATTAATACAAAGGATTGCTGTGTTCTCTATCAAAATCCCAATAATAGTTTTCACAGAAGGAAAAAAAACAATTTTAAAGTGTCTGGAGGCTACAGAATAGGAAAATAATTTTTTTTTACCAACTATATATCAGATAGAGGACTAATATCCAAACTATACAAAGAACTCAAAAACTAAACAGCAACAAATGAAATATTACAATTTTTAAAAATTGGATACAGGTCTAAACAGAGAAAATTCAAATAGCTGAAGAACACCTAAAGAAATGTTTAGCATCTTTAGCCATTAGGAAAATACAAATTGAAACTTACACCCATCAGAACTGTCTTAGTTAGGGTTGCTATTGCTGTGAAGAGACACCATGACCATGGCAACTCTTATAAAGGAAAACATTAATTGAGATGACAGCTTACTGTTCAGAGGTTCAGTCCATTATCATCATGGTGGGACTTGGTGGCATTCAGGCAGACATGGTACTGGCTATATCTTGATCAGAAAGCAACAGGAAGTAAATGGAGATGCTGGGTGGTATCTTGAGCATATATGAGAACACAAAGCCCATTTCCACAGTGACACACTTCCTCCAACAAGACCATACTTACTCCAACAAGGTCACACTTCCTAATAGTGCTATCCCCTTTGAGATTACAGGGGGCCAATTACATTTAAACTATCACAAGAATGCCTAAAATCAATAAAATAAATGATAGCTCATGTTAGGAAGGATGTGGAGTAAGGGGAACACTCATCCATTACTGTAAATTTGTACAGCCACTGTGGAAATTAGTGTGTCAGTACTCAGGAAGACAGTAACCATCTACCTCAATATCCAGCATATACCCAAAGAATGCTTCATCCTATCACACAGATATTTGCCCTGCCATATTCATTGGGCTCTATTTGTAATAGCCAGAAATTGGAAACAACCTAGATGTCTGTCAATAGATGAATAGATAAAGAAAATGTGGTACATTTGTCCATTGGAATATTACTTTGTCATTAAAAAGAATGAAATTCAAAGGTAAATAATGGAACTAAAACAAACTATCCTGAGTGAGGAAACCAAGTCTCAAAAAGCTACATTCTATAGAGCCACAGAACTTATGTATAGAATTGGGGACTAAGGGGGAGTAGATCTCCCTTAAAAAGGGAAATATAATAGACAGATATGGATGGATATGGGCCTAAAGCAAAAGGATCAAGTGAAAAGACAAAGTGAAGAGGGGGACTGTTGGGAGCACAGCAAGAAGTGATCTTGTGCCCACAGATCACTGGGGAGACCAGGAATATTAAGCAGGGAAAGATGTAAAACTTGTTCTTTCATCCAGAAAGTTGGGAATGAGAGGTGATTAGTAGCCTGGTGATCTGCATTTTATCTGTTGGGCCAGGCCATATCAAGTTCCTACAACCAAGTCTGGGAGTGCCTTGTACTCTAAATGACCCTAACAGCCAAGGACTCCCCAAGCTCCCACAACCAGGACCACAGGTGGCCTAAATGACCTCTAAGCTATCTGTATGACTAAGACCAGGCCAGAGCCTTCCCTAGGCTCTTAAATTAATATAGGTAGCCTATCTCCAGAACCGGGTCTTCTTGTAAGAAATGGCATGTGCTCTGAGTTGAGTTTTGATGTAATTATGCTCTCTTATACACCGATTGCACCTTGAATTTTTTTCTTAATTATACTGGGATTAAATATGGGGCCAACAAACCACCTAGAAACAGACTGGAGACTCTGAAGTCTTGATCCAGGTTGACAGTGATTCTGAACCATGTTTTTATTCTCACCTCTTCACTATTCTGCCTGCCATAACCACCTGCAGGGTCCCCTTCAGGTGAGGAAGGAGGGAATATGAGGAGAGACAGCTGAAATTAAAGGCCATTTCAGTGATAGTATGGAGACCCAATGCAGTAAAATCTTCCTAAACTATATACATATGTATTTGTCAGGGTTCTCCAGAGAAACAGTACTCATAGAATGAATGTGTGTATGTGTGTGTGTGTGTGTGTGTGTGTGTGTGTGTGTGTGTGTGTGTGTGTGTTTTAAGATGGTCTATAGACTATGGTCTGTAATACAAATCCCTCTTAATCAACAGGATAGATGCATATATGAACTCACAGAGACTAAGGCAGTAGGCACAGGGCCTGCACAGGTTTGCACCAGATGGGTTCCTAGAGCTGAAAAGAGGACACAGCCACCATCCCTAACTCAGAAGCAATCCCTAGCTGATAATCACTTGCAGATGAAAATTTAGTTTCCTCTGAGAGAGTCTCCCTGGGGAAACAAGCTACTCGGAAGGGTAAACTGCATGCCCAGGAGTATGGTCAACTCAGTGGCATCAGTGGAGGTTCTTGCCTCATAATGTCATGCCAGGGATTTTTTTCCCTTAATTTTATCTTATTTTTCTTTTATTTTATTTATATATTTTTCTCTTTTCACCCTGCAGGTCCTTCGCATACATATCAGCCTTCCAGCTTAGTGATCTTATAGGATTACGTGAGCAAATGAATAATTCTTCCCATGTAAATCTGTTTCTTGTTTTTTCTTAGGCTCCTTTCCTTCAATATGTTTTATCTTATTCCAATGTGTTTGGTTTTGCCTTATTGTATCATACTTACTATATATTTTGTTATTATCTCTTACAACTCTGTTTTTTTTTTTTAATGAGAGAAAGAAAGGGTGCCAATCCAGATAGGAGTGGAGGTGGGGAGGAGCCAGGAAGAGTAATGGGATTGGAGCCTAATCAGGATATGTTATGTGAGGAAAAAAAAAATCTATTTTCAATAAAAGGGGGAAAAAAAGATACCATAATTACTTTGCTTTCACTATTCTTTAAAGAACTGCAAACCAAAATTACAATAAGATACTACTTTGTACCCACTGACTATTACTTTTAAAAAATACCAAGTATTGGCTCTAATGTAAAGAAATTGGAACTCAAGCTCCCTGGTAGATCATAAGACAGTGTATCTACTATTAAGCACAGGATGGTGATTTCTTTAAAGAGAGAGAGAGAGAGAGAGAGAGAGAGAGAGAGAGAGAGAGAGAGAGTACCATACTACCTCTACAGACTCTTAAGCCCCTTGGACAGAAGGGGCTAGGTGGGGACCCCACAGGTGTCAAAAAGGTTTAACTCCAGAATAGGTCCATGTTTGAGAGTAGCTCTGCACCAAATGGGATTATTCATTTTGTTCAGTAAAACCAAAACAAAATAGTATTTTAAGCCTGAGAGAGGGTGAAAATAAAACATCAAAGAGTTTGGGAGCATTGGGTAGAAATTAGCAAGCACTTAGAAAATAA